TTTGGCATCTTTCATGTTTCAGGGGTGTACTTGGTAGCCGTGTAGACTACACTTGGTAACCAACATGGCTACCAAGTACACCCCTGAAACATTTACTCAAATAACCTTTTCTGCCTAGCAGAGGGACAGAGATTAAATGCACTATATTTGATCTTCAATAATTCTAAAAAGTGAAGGGATTTCAGCATGCTAAGTGGAAATTACACCAACATCTGAATGAAATGGCACCAAGTGACTGCCTTTTAAATTGTTAACTGTCTTCACATGATTCTTCTGGTAACTGGGTCCACTTCTTCTGGGATACAACTGTTTAAACTACATTGAAAAAAATATTAATTCTTCATGTTACAAACCTGTAGAGCTTGTAAAATCTACAAAGAGCAGGCATGTGAAATGTTTTCATTTTAGAAATAGGTACATCATTAAGAGCCTACCTACCTTATATATAGAATATTGAACATATTGTATTACTACTATCACTAATGGTTAGATTTATATTAATTTATATGTCAAGATGACACTTGTATATATGTGTATTTGAGTATATATGCTAAGTCTGTTTTTTTCCTGTATCATAGAATCATAGAGAAGGAACCCCCAAAGGTCATCTAGACCAACTCCTTCCCTGCCTCAGGCAATGTCATCCCTATCCAAACCATCCCAAATAAATCCATTATTTAACCTATTAGCAAAACTACACAGTCAACCCTGGCACAATCATGTGATATAACACCCTAATCTACCATAGGTAAAGCAGGGGGACCACAGTGTTAAAACATGCTCATAAGATCTGACCATTCCCACAGCTACAGATAAAGGAAAAACCCCCAAAGTCTGTTCCACTCTGACCATGGGGTAAAATTCCTTCCTGAGCCAAATATGGAAATTAGCTTGACCCCGAAGAGAGGGGCAAGATCCTCTATTCAGGAACCTCTGGGTTTAAGTCCTAGCACAAGCATTGGCATCCCCCGGATCCAAACCCCCAGTGTTGGTTGCAGCCAACACACAATGCTTCTGAGGCAGTCTTTAAAAGCAACAAAAGGGGAAAAAATTCCCTCCTAGCCCCATGAAGCCACCAGCAAAGTCCAGAAGCATAGGAAATGTCCATAATGGAACATAGGTATAGCTATGCATAAGTCATCGCTGACCAGTGGCTTTCTAACCTTTTATTGAACAGCTCCAGTGATGGAGAACCCACAGCTTCCCTATGCAATCTATTCCACTGTGAAGAAGTTTTTCCTGATTTCCAATCAAAACTTACTTTGCTGCAAGTTCAAGCCACTGGTCCATGTCCTACTCTCTGCAGCAAGAGAAAAGTGTCTTCCCTCTTCTTTAAGGCATCCCTTCAGGTACTTGAAGATTGCTATCATGTCACCTCTTAAGCACCTTTTCTGAAAACTACCTATTTCTTTCAACCTCTCCTCACATGACTTCCTTTTCAAGCCCTGTATCATTTTATCACCCATCTTTGGCCCTTCTTCAACTTCTCCATCTATTTTTTTTTAAAGGTGGAGACCAAAACTGCACACAATAGGTCAGGTGAGGCCTATTGCATTAAATAGAGGCAGTGTTGAATAGGGAGGCACTATTACCTCCTGTTTCTTGCACCTAGTGTTTCTACTGGTGCATTCCAAAACTACATTTATCTTTTGTGTAACTGCATTGCACTGCAGACTCATATCAAGTCTGTTCTCTACCAAGACTCCCAGATCCTTCTCCAGCAGGGATTGTGATCTTCCTTTTTGTCTTTTTAAAAGAGGGGCACTATACTGACCCTTTTCCAGTTCTCTGTTACCTCACCCAGCTCCTACAATTCCGTAAATATTATTGCTAAAGGCTCTGAGATCACCTTTGCCAGTTTCTTCAATGCTCTGGGATCAAGTTCATTGAGACCCATCAATAGCTCTTTGACTCTCTTTTTTATAATTTTATCCTTTAGCTTCAGCCCTCACCCCTTCCATATCCAAATAATCTTAATTAGGTTCCTGGCTGCAGCTTAGTTTTTTGTACATACTTTATTGGCTGATAGTGTATATATTAAACCTATATGTTTTTTTACTTGAATTATTAAATGTTTGAACTGGTGCCATTGTCTTTTTTTACAGAATTTCACTTTGTTTAGAGTCTAGGCCAATTTCAATTTAATTTAACAGTTTTGTCATTCATTTTGGTGGGAACAGATTTCAGTGTGTTTTTTGGTTTTTTTTTTCACTGTCAAACTATGATAAAAACTAAAAATCGCATGAAATGTTGTTTGATGCTTTCCTGGATGATCTAAACAAGATTTGGTTTTTATTTCATGGTGAATCGTATGTTTATTAAAGTACTTTTCCAGTTCCAAAAGGCTTTAGATATGGTGTAGAATTGGAATGACACATGTGAAATTAAATTTGCCATTGACAAGTATGAATACAAATTGGCACATCTGTCCCAAAAGAAAAAAGTGTATCAGAAAGATAGAGGTGAGAGCAAACTAATAAAAGACCTTGTTTGATGCCAAACTCCTCTCTCAGTGCTTTCATGCAATCTACCAAAATAGCTAACCTTGGCAAGCAAATGCACTTATGTACTTTAAATTATCCAATTTAAATCAGATAGGATAAAAAGGATGTAAATCCCCCATTTTATACATTTGTTTTTGTTACTGTTTAAATAATGTGGATTCAGATGTTGAATGAGATGAGTAATACCCTAGAGGACTAAGGGCACTGGGACAGGTTACCTTTAAAACATTTTAAATCTGTGGAATGTTAGACAGTCATAAAGTTGGAACAGTTTCAGAGTAGTCACAGACCTGAACAACTATGATTTACCACTAGAGGACCTGGCAAGCAGGGATGTGAGCAGGAGTTAGGACTCTAATCCTCCTCTGGGATAGAAAAGTGATGGGGAGGGTGACATGTAGCTTGAAGGTGGAGAAAATACCATGGGGTCTATGGCTTCCCTCCCTCTTCAGTAGCAGAAGCCAAGCCAGAGCTGAGGGTAGGAAGGGAGAAATCTTGAAAAAGTGTTTGAAGTAAAGAGGGTGGGAGGAGAAGTAGAGAATGGACTGAAAAAAATAATAAAAAGAAATAAAGGACCAAAATCTTACGTGTGTCTCAGTGTCTGGGACTGGGGTGGGAGAAGTTGGGTAAGAGGTGGCAGGAGTCATGCTGGCTGGGATGCGGGACTGTCCTGGGCCAGGTAGCTAGGGGACGGGAGGAGTAGAGGTGAGAACCAGGTGATTTGTGGGTCCAGGGAAACTCAGGTATGATGCAGTGGCTGGCCAGCAGTGGTGGTGATTGTGGGTGGTAGGAGATGGCTGGCTCCTGGGGAGCTGGCTGGCCCTGTGCCAACCCACTCCAGTGAGCCCCCTGGCACTGCTCTCTCTGGGAAAGACTGGTAGAGCCAGGATACAATTAGGGGTAGGAGGGTTGTGCAGGCTGGGAGGGGAATGCTGAGGTGCGAGAAGGAGGTCTCACCTTTCCATCATGGACAGGGAAAGGGAGGAGGAGTCTGGCAAGATCAGCCACCTGCAACAAACACTGATGAACCCCCTACAGTCTTGGCCCAGGTGGGGGGGGGGAGGTTAGGAGGACCCCAGCTTTAGCCCCAAGTCTTCAATGGTCCCATCCTAGCCTAGGAGGGAGGGGCCTGATGAGAGGGCTCAACAGTCTGGTTCCTCCATGCCAGCTGCTTTCAAAGACACCTCCCAAACCAGACCTCAGCCCCCTGCCTTATTCCAGGTCCCCAAGCCTTATTCAGGGCTGCCTGAGCCTTTAAGCTGGGCGCAAGGTGTGGGAAAACTTCAACTAAGCTCATGTTATCTGAGGTTAATTGAAAATTTCCTATACCCAGCTGGCCTTTTCCCCTGTTCTCCTCTGGCCAAGCACGTAGTGGCAGGGCAGGGGGAGAGAGGGCAACTTTCCCTCAAGCCCATTCAAGTCCAAGTCATCCAATTCCTTTATCAAGGCAGGATCACACCTTTCTAAACCATCTCAGGCACATGTTTGTTTTAGCTGCTCTTAGGACTCGCTAAGACACAGGTGAGAAGATTCTACAACCTCTCTTAGTCATGTTTCAAGCGCTAAACCATCCTTATAATTTGACAGTTCTTCTTGGTATCAAGCTGAATTATCCTTGTTGCAATTTAAACATAATTTCTTATATGTCCTCTGCAGCAACAGGAAATAGCTTAACGTGCTCCTCTTTATAGCCATCCTTCAAGTATCTAAAGACTGTTTCAAACTTTCTTTCTGAATCATGTTCCCTAGACATCTAATCTAAGATCTATGCTGGACTTTTCATAATTTTTCTTTCTTTATGTGTGGTGCCCAAAACTGGATGCAGGATTCCAGTTGAACCCAGTCTGAATAGAGAGGAAGAATTGCTTGCCTTGACTTGTAGGCAACATTCCTGTTAATTTAGCACAGCATGTTATTATCTGTTTTGTATCTTTTTGGCACCACTAAGAATGGTGAATAAATTGAGATTTTTTTTATGCATACTCTCTCTTATTAAGTTAGCGATCCCAAATACATTAGTAGTCAGAGTTATTCCACATCATTTTTTACGGTTTAACTAGTCTTTTGTTTTGTTTAATTCCTAAACCTATCTGCCATAATTTATCAGAAGCATAAATATGAACAGATCAGGAGCTCAGAAGTACTCTGTTCACTGTCGCTGTTCAGAATCTTTTTTGGATATTTTCATTCCAGTCACCTAGGCAGATGAGTACTCAGGAGCTGAAAATGTAGTGCCAGCAATTAACATGAAAAAAGTTAACCAGAGGAATATTGCTTAACATGGGAGAGACATACCAAGGGCTTGATCTGCAAATATCACCTTTATAGCTGGCTTCACTTGTGCAAAATAAATGGTATGTGTGTCAAATATTAACAAATCAGACTGGTAGCTTTTCAACCATTTTGAACTTTGTAAAATACTGCACATGGTGCATCTCAGTGGATAATCAGGCCCAAGTTTAATAGTTTCTTTTTTATTTTTTTTTTATCCCCTACCTATGAGCAGGTATTTTGCGGTTCCCAGCAATAAGGATAACATCACAGAGTTGCTGCTGCTTCAGGTAGCTTTCCATTTTTCTGAAGGTTTGTTCAGCATGGTGTACTGCCTGATAGAATTCCTCAGAGCTACTGGAATCCATATCACATGGAGGTGACAGAGGATGGCTGGCTGTTGACAATCTGTAAACCAAAAAAAAATAGTAGGGTTGATGAAGTGTCTCCAAATCTCTACACATAACAGCCTCCAGATCTCTGATTAAGAGAAATCAGTGTATCTTTCCCTATTTTTCTCACTGGAAGCAGAAGACGGCAACATTTTATCAGTTTAAAGACCCAAAAGTGTTTCTCTGGGAAAATGAAATAATATTTTCAATTACCTGTAAAAAACAACAATCAAAGAAGGGTTCAGCATACTTATACTAAAGTTACTTGTACGTGTTTATCTTCAATAAACAGCCCTATTTCTCTCCACTTTTGTGTTCTAAAATGTTCTTCTAGCCACAAAATGGAGCACACTATGTAAAAATAATTTTCTGCAATAGTTACAATACTAATATGAAAAATCTTTTTACATTAGAAATTAACACTACGTATATGCACACTTGTTATAACAGTACCAACTCTAGTTTAGATCTTTCTTGTTCTTGTTTTGTTTGTTTTCGTTTCCTCAGTGTGTTATGTTAAAACACTCATTATTTCGCCCAAAGCAAAACTGGTAAGTAGTATTCCAGAATACATGAGACTAAATAGTGATATAAGCTACCATTAATTTATCCTGTGCAGTGACACAGTTTACAATACCCCCCAAAATACTTAGGAAAAAATAATCTCAATAATTATAGGTGAGCATAAGTTTCAGAATTTGAGGGATCTATATGGGGATCTTATAGTTTCATAGTTTCGTAGTAACTAGGGTCAGGAGGGACCTGAACAGATCATCTAGCCTGACCCCCTGCCACAGGCAGGAATGAATGCTGGGTTCACAAGACCCCAGACAGGTGATCGTCCAACCTCCTCTTGAATATGCCCAAGGTAGGGGCGAGGACCACTTCCCTGGGAAGTTGGTTCCAGATTTTGGCCACCCTAACTGTAAAACATTGACTTCTGATCTCCAACTTAATCCTATGCTCCATCAGTTTATGACCATTGTTTCTCGTCACCCCAGGTGGTGCTGGGGAGAAAACAGCCTATTTGCTGTTGATCCCCCTTGATGAGCTTGTAGGCAGCCACCAGGTCCCCCCTCAGCCCCCTCTTACTGAGCCTGAACAGGTTCAGGTCCTTCAGCCTGTCCTGCTGCCCTCTCACCAAGCGGGTGGCCCTTCTCTGAACCCTCTCCAGGCTGGCCACATCCCTTTTGAAGTGCGGTGCCCAGTACTGGACACAGTACTCCAACTGCGGCCTGACCAAAGTCGCATAGAGGGGGAGTATCACCTCTCTGGACCGGATTGAGATGCACCTATGGATGCATGACAAGGTATGGCTGGCCTTGCTGGCTGCGGTCTGGCATTGGCGGCTCATGTTTATCTTGGAGACTCCAAGATCCCTTTCCGCCTATGTGCTTTCAAGAAAGGAACTCCAGTTGCAGCCTCTCTCTCCCTTCAAGTGTGTCCACCTCAACCCACAACTTAGTGTCATCAGCAAACTTGGACAGTGTGCTTTCCACCCCCTCATCTAAGTCGCTGGTGAAGATATTAAACAGTGCAGGCCCAAGGACCGAGCCCTGGGGTACCCCACTGCTCACATCTCGCCAGGTTGAGTACAACCTGTCCACCACTACTCTCTGGGTGCGCCCCATCAGCCAATTTTTTACCCATCCAACTGTGCAGGCATCAATGCCACAGTCCCTTAATTTAGTGATGAGGATGGGGTGAGAGACAGTGTCAAAGGCCTTCTTAAAGTCTAGAAAGACTATGTCCACAG